ACAGGGGCAGAAATGGCGGGGCTTGGGTGCGAAGTGATATTGCTAGGGTTGACATTTTGAGGAGCCATGGCTCGATATTTTGTTACGCTGCCCTTTAACGAATGAATGGTATTCTGCGTTGATGCATCAGTGCCCGTTGGAAGACGTTGCGCTGCGCATTGCTGCACACTGATTGCCGCCATCTATTCTTTTTTACACATTGTGCTTACATTCACTCGTTGTGCCTTGGTCAAGTGCATCGTATTTGACTGCACCGTGCTTGCCTGTTGTGCTGTTCGGACTGGTGCAAGGCCAGCGATTTTCGCATTCCGACAATAAAATAGCCATGGACACATATATGAACGTGAACAACAACAAAGTTTGGGTCATGTCAATGTGCCTGCGCACCTTCAAGGTGCATTCTCACGGCAGTACTAGCAGACTCGCCCGCCAGTGGAACCGGGGGTCGGAAATTCCCAGTTTTGGCAAGCGCCGATAAATGAAGTGCCAATCAATGGATCAATGTTAATTGCAACCAGAACCGATTGAGTGCTATTAGTAGCTGGACGCATTAAGAGGTGATGAGACAATAGGAACTCAATTAAGGACACTGATGAACGAACTGGATACGAGGGACAGAATTCCCGTTGTCCCTTTGCTCCGCTGTTAACCGCTGCCGCGTACGGCATAAAATTACTCCCCGTTCTTGTTTGCTGAGATTCGGTTCTTGTTTTCGGACACCCTAAACCCCAACTACTGATCCACGCACCGGGACTGGCCTTGTCAGCGGAACAAGAACCGAATCTCTGCAAACAAGAACGGGGAGTAATATATTCTCAACAACAGCGCCGTTCCAGCCGCTGACGGCCTCCAGCGCAACGCTGACAGGGCCGCTTCGATTCCGCCGCCTACCCAAGACGCTGGCGCCAGTCGCACCTCAAACCCGGCTTCGGGGTCATGGCCGGCAGCCTCCGCTGATTGCCCCACCTCTTTGGAGTGAACGCGCAAAGCCCTCTTGAATGAGCCCGCTTCAATCCCCGCTGGGAACGTACCCTGCAATGGGCGATCACTCGCCTATGTACAAGACCCACAAACGTGTCCGGCCTTGTACAAGACCCACAAAAGTGGCCGCCTGGAGCCGCGGGCAGCCCCGCTGGACCCGATATTCGCCCACCGCGGGGGCAAGCGCCCAAGCTGCAGGAGCGCGGCCGGACAAAGTGCACCGCAGCGCCTCCAGAGGGCGCCGTTTTGGACTCGCGAAGGTGGGCAAGGCGCGGCCTGGGTCCGGCTCTCTGGGCCTCCATAGCCGGGGGGCGGTGGTGCGGGGTGGGGGTGGGGGTGGGGGCGTAGGATTCGTTACAAAAAGAGAAAGAAAAGGGTCATGCAAAGGATACCCCCTCCTGAGCAAGTGTGTGCGAGACTCTTTCCCTTGCTGTGAAAAGATGGCACGGAGTGTCCGATGCGAAACGATGAGCACGCAGCGCCAGCAATGCAAAAGGGGTGGGGCTTGGGCTGGGGGGGACTGTCCGTTGGGGAGCCAATGGCCCTGGGTGACCCAGATTTTGTGGTCGGATGACGTTTGTCGGCCGCGAAACTCGTGAAAGATCCGCCCGCTGCCTCCGTCGGCGCTTTCCTGCTGGCGCGGGGCCCCGTGGCACCGCCAGTCAACTCGTTGACGTGCATGGCAGCCCGCGCCGACGAACCCTTGTGCGGGCGCCGGCCGCCTTGAGACGGCTGGCGGACGTCCGCGAGAATCGGAACGGGGCGCCGATCGGCGTGCGGGGCAGCCACAAGGAGCTGTGTGCGCCCGCAGGGTGGCGAGCCGTGTCGCGCAAACGCATCGCTTGCATCCATGCTCGCCGTCAACTTCCATGGCAAGCGATGCAGCCCTGTCGTACGCACCTCCGCTGGGCGCTTTGGGCGCTTTCCCGCAGACGGTGGGGTGGACTGGGAATTGTTGGCATCACGCCGCTCGCGGCGTGGCGCCCTTGGGCTGCGCGTGGAGCGTATTGTGACCTGTCTTGCGACGCGCGGTGCGGTTGACGCGGATGCATGCATATGGCCATCCGGGCGCTCGGGCAGCGATTGACGGAAGGTGTCGGCGGCCCGCTCCCGCCGGCTCGTGGGCTTGGAAGCCTTCCAGGCTCGAAGCTCAGTCCGCCGGGCCCGTTAGGGCCGGAGAGCCGTGCCCTTTCGGTGTGTTCCGGCCTCCTCGGTCCCTCAGGCCGCGCGGGTGGCGCGGCGGGGCGTGCGGCCACAATGGTGATGGGATGGACGGCCGTCATGTGTGAAGCCGTTGACAGCGTTGGATGGGATGCAATCCGAGTGACATGCAGAGTCCTGCAAGGCAAAGGCAGGGGATGGGGTTGGCCCAACATGGCCTTGTGGTTCCCGAGCATGGACCCCATTGTTGGTGCATTTTTGCGATCCGTAATTAATCCGTAATTAATTGTGTTAACGGAATTGCTGATGCGCTCACACTGAACAGCAACAGCAGGCCAGAGTGACTGCGCAGTGATCCCTCAAAGAAGCAAAAGCGCTCCTGGCGACAAGGCAACTATATAAAACCTCCCACAGCGAGCCCAAGAGCGCCAAACCGTCGGCCAGTCGTGGGGGTGGTGCAGTGTCTGCCGTTGATGGGGAAGATGGCTGGTTGTGCTCATTGCAAGCGGTGGCCAGGGGCTGACTGCGCAACCAAAGAAACAATGGGCGCTTGCTCGTATTTGCTGTTAATAGTTATTCGTTTCAATTTCGATTGATTCATGAACGGAGAGCTGAAAGCGCGCGATCCAACGATTCCAGCCGGGCCCTAATAATGTCTGGTGACGAAGGTAGAATTTAACACCCAGCGTTGCGCTTGCGCTGGAATTTGCTGAAAACTGTCAACTGATGAGGCGGCGCAATGGTTTGGCTGGCGCCGTGGCGCGCAACAGGCGCAAAAAGCGCCGCATCGATGCACTGATTCACAGTTGCCAGCCAGGATTTTGTAGCGCCGGTACAATCCTGGTCTTAAATGGCAAATGATGCCGTTTGGTTCCGTGCAGTGGAATTATCACAATGTACTGATTATAATGCATAAATTAGATAGGCCTAGGATCAAATACAGGCTAAACTGTCCCTAGTTGAGCTTCCGGAGCCTCCCTAAGCGCCAGATGGAGTGGCAGAAACTTGCCTATTTTTGAATTGCCTGTTTGGATTTCGCACAGTTGTTTAAATTGCTATGATTAGGTTAATACTGCGTATCTGGGGAATGAAGCGTGTTAAACGGTAGCAAATCTTGCTGCAATAACCTTGCTTGTGATGCCACATTTCAGTGGTGAAAGTTGCTTGCAAAAACGGGGGACTAGGCGCTCTGGTCTCATGATGGCAATGGACGTCGTTTTAGGCTTGCTTGCTCGCCACACGTTTGCAGAATGCAGCCCGACAGGTTTTAGGAGGGAACTACCTACTTGCGCTGATTTCCCTCATGCGCACAGTTGATGGTAATATTATATATATGGCAGTCATATGGCCGCCAGAGCACTGCGCTACCAAGTCAAGCAACGTTAATCTTACGTGTTTTTTTGGTTGATACTACCCATTAGCGGAACTCACAAAAAATATAGTATCCACAAAAATGGGAATGCACCAACAACAGCCAACCGGAGGTGCTGTCTCCTTGCTCTCCCTTTCAGTAAGGCGCTTGATTTTCTGCCTTCAATTTTGCACAATATTTCGAACGGAGCGTTATGGCGCCCATGGCATTGATTCATACTGGCCCGCGATTAATTCATAGAAACTGGCGTTTATGTGAATTGTATTCTTTGAAAAGCTGTATCGAAGTCGCATATGCCCGAGAGGGCGGTTTCCAGTAAGTTCAGAAGCGCTGCTCCTACAGCGCTAGCAAGAAATTGCCCATTTGCACTATTATCGGATGTAGTAAGAAGTTGTATTTATTTTGCGATGGTGCGCAGTTAGTGGAAGCAATTAACGATGTCCAATCACACACTTCGTAAGTAATCTTCAAGCCTTTTATCCTGCTTAAGTGTAGTTAATATGGTCAATTTTACCGCTGTACCTAAACCAGTACTTTGGTGTCGTTCTGCGCCAAGGCAGGGCTCACAACACCACTGCTGCCTGTGCATTTCCGGGTCGTGCCCGCGCACCTGATCGAGCCACGTCATCCATCGTCAGCGGCCAGTCATGGAGTCATCTTCAAGCCACCTTCTGGCCGCCCTCGCCCTTCTGGCCGCATGCCTATCGCCCGCCCACTCCCAGTACTTAACGCAGGATGACATTCCCAGCGACCCCGCCGACAAGGCTACCGTGGTTGGGCGCTGGTTCGTGGCGCCGCACGACGGTTTCCAGGTGGGACTTGGGGCCCATACACATACTGCTTTGGTCCCACTGGCCCAAGGGCGTGCAAGCGTTTCGAATCTGTTTTTCAAAACACTGTTTTCTGATTTCGCCCAAGTCCTGTCGCAGAATACTTGGCGCAAGAAAGCACCGCAAAGCGGTTCAACAAGATTCAACTTGCATCTCGGACCAATGTAGTCCTTCAAATATTTTTGGTAGAGCCCATTCGAGCAGAATGGGAACAAGACTCGATGGCTGAGCCACTGTGCATTTCCGAGACTTTAATGTTGTGGAGGCCACTTGCGAGAGCCGACGCCTTCCCGCCCTGATTTCAGTAGCTGATTCCCACCCTTCCGTACGCCATCCCGCTCGCCCATTCACTCTCTGGCCCATTGCTCATGCTCAGGCTTGCTTTTGGCATTTAGGTTTACGTCCACGTTTTCACGCTTAATTTTGTATGCGTGAAACGTAAAAATGCCAAAGGGGCTATAGCAACGGCTATTTTCACTGCTCGCTGGGCACCCAATTTGCATGATGAATTCGCATACAATGGTCAGTCCTCAGCCCACTCGAGCACCTGCAACAAAGCGCCCACCCCGCCCCGGCAAAAGCAAAGGCGTCGTCGGATAACAAAATCGTTTTCTGCCCACCCCAATGCATCTGACTGTCACTCCCCGGACTCCTTGATTCCGCATGCACTGTCTACAATTGGTCAAAATTTACGTCTTTTTACGCGTATTTACGTGCAAAGACGCAAATCTTATCTTTGCGCATAAGTACGGGTCAACGCTCAGTGTTTACGCCATAAAGACCAGGCCCGCTCACGCCCATCAGGATTTTGTACCCGAGATGCCAACGAGGGAACAGCCTCGAGTAGGCAGCGTGGGTGGAACCTTTGAGCGCGATTCAAGGCAACAATGAGCCGATTTGGGCTACAAGTGCGAGGGATCGGATAAGTCAGTCGCTTTTGGAACATTTCAGTGCACACAATTAGCAGAAGTACTGGGAAAAAATGGCGCATACGATGGCAGCGTCGATGTGCTATTTTGACAAACGGACAGCTTTGCTGCATTTTTGGCAAATTGCACTGCAAGATGCATGTTAAAAACGGTGCCTGTACCGAAAGGATTGCCTGCGGCTTGCAGGGCTTGAAGACTATCAACCCATTCCTTACAGACGAAGACCTGAGGTACACAAAGCGTGGCGACGACTGCGATGACCGCAAGAAAAGCGAGGTATGTTTGGACCGACCGCGGATGCCCGGAGCCACCCGCTCTGGTATTTCCACCCTTTGTACATTACGCAAGTTGTGAAAAGTGCACAAACTGCGGATGATGTGGATGCTCTCTACTGTCGGCATATCCTGGACGCTCTGTTTGCTATGCAAATCGCGTAGATTCTGGATCCGCTGTACGTTGTTGATGTTCCGCTTATTCCGGACATTTGCCCAATTCGATGACTCGAAGTGCATGCTGTCGTTGGAGACTCGCGGATGGCAACTTCCGTGGAACTTCCTTGTTGAAGGTGTGTGCGGAGCTTCCATCCTGGTTCTCGGGCCTGGGCTTGTCGCAGCCCACCGCCGCCGACGGCATACGTTTCATCGGCATCACCGACGGCGGGCCGGCCAATGGGTGCAAAGAACCTGATGGGACGCCAGACGAGGTAAGCCCTTCCTTGGACAACGCTTGAAGAAGTGACGTAAAATGCTGCGAACTAAATCTATGCTGCAGAGTGACATAAAAATGTGAAGTAAAGTAACGCAAAGTAAAGTATGCTGCAAAGTCAAATGCAAAGCAGAGAATAGAGTAAAATGTAAAGTGAAATGTAGACGAAAATGCAACGTGAAATGTAAACGAAAATTCAAAGTGAAATGCAAAGTGGTGCTGAAAAGTGAAGTATGCTGCACTGTGACATAAAATCTGCAATGTACTTATCCCTGTCGTAATGCATTCCAAGGGGTGCTCTGGGACGACAAGGAGCTGGTGGTCAAACGAGTCGCTGTCTATATTGCTATCCGTATTTATCGCCTGCCCATTGACACTGCAATGTAAAACTCTTTCGGCAAATACAGTCGCTGCAGAGCCCGCCTACCGCACACAATTGCTCTCCGTAAATTAAGTGAAAATGAAGAAATACTGTTGGCCGGACAGTTTTTGTGGGGCCATTTTTCACCATTGAATGCTGCACCAATATTTTCTCCTTTCTGGTACGTGCTCGTGGCCTTTAGCAGCAAGTGCGTTCGAGTGTGCGAACTCGCCAAAACGGCCGAACAGGGACAAAATTGCGTACTTGAACTTAAATTCATATCAAAGCAGTTATGTTTGATAGTACTTCGAAGCAGTTCATAATACTTAATAATAGCTCCAACTGTTGTGCGCCATCCCAACACTTTCGCTAATGCTCACCGGTGCAGGTGTCCCACAAAGACTTCGTGGTGCCCGCGTTCGCCCCGGTGGTGTCCGAGTTCCGGATCAACTTGGAGGCGGGTGCCTTGCTGCTGGACAATCACTGCTTTCTGAAGGGGGCGGACGGCGCGCCGCTCACCGGCCTGCCCAACACCGACCGGGACGACGTGCCGTTCAGCGGCGGCGACTGCGAGGTGGGCTTACTTGCTGCTGTGTGAAAAGTTGAAATTGTTGTATTGTGTATTGCATTATATCGTCCACATATTGACTAATCGGAAAACGTGAACATTCACCACGAAGTAATTGTACAAACGATATAATATGATGTAATAACAATACACCGATGCGAGGAGAAATGAACGATTATTAATCGTTTGTGCGTTGTGCGATGTGCGATGTACGATAAAACGATACACGACATGGACGGGACACAAATGACAAATTATTCAGTCATTGCGATCGACAGTCATTCGGTTGGTATGCATACAGTTAGCCGCTATTGTAGGGATGAGCTCAGACGGTGCGCTGCACACATTCTGAGCGTTAAGTGCAGCAGTTGATGCTTGATGACGCGACACGCGTTGAGTCCCGTACTTGGGCATACCACGCACCGAACGCCACGATGTGTCACCCGACTGCCGGCTGAGAGGTGGGAGGGGTTGGGTCGACGCAAATAAGTCGCTGGCAGGGAAGGCTGCCATGACGTTTCATGGAATACCATAGAGGACGCGACACCTGTTGTCTTTTGTGTTGCGCTGACACGACTTTGAATTCTTTATTCCGTCTGATGGGAATTTGTGTACTTGAGGCGCAGTTGCCTGAAATTTGCGTTCTCGATTGCCAATCCTGCTCCTCTGCAACGGCGAATCAGCGCAAATAGCTCGCGCCCACAACCCGGTGTGTTTGTGAGACCCAAGGTCGACCACGATAGCAGAGTCTATTTGGCCCACACCGGCATAGTACCACACCATTGGCGGCGCGCCAGCTACAATGGTGCATCGTTTTTTGTTTTCCCCTCTTGTCGCTTCTTGTCTCATGTCACAATATACCAGGGGTTCCCGCTGGACCTGCAGGTGACGTCCTGGCATTTCGAGGAACATATTGTTGATGGCGAAAACTTCAGAAATTCTGATATTGTTTATCGGAAAGAAAACTGTAATTACCGATTTTGTATGCTGTGCTTGATGCCTTTTCACATCCTGTGGTGAGCTCCGGTACTTATTGGTCGATGCGCGATCCGGATTTGTTCTAAAAGGGGCGCTGCACTGATGCACAAAGTCTGTGTCCATCCGGCGAATTTTAAAAGAGGACTGACGACCGGTGGAAATGGCGCTGGTATTAAAGAATATGTCCACATGTTAGTACTGTTTACACCTAATATTTTCCTGTCGTTCTTTATATTTTAGATTGCCCTGGGAAAGGCATTGTTCTGAAATTAAAATACCAGGTGCCTTGGACACACTAGTGCTGCGGATGGTGCTTCCACAACAATACATGATTTCCAGCAGCTCAACGCTGCAGACACAGCAACAGACACGGCGCGAACTGGGGGATGTTTGGCAGCAGAAATTGCGCCAAACGGCGCTCTTGAACCGACCCCCGTTTTCTGCTTTCAGGACCAACTAGACAGATCTATCGACGGCATCGACCCTGAGGACGTGCAGAAGATTCCCGGTACGGACCTGTGCCTTGGCGGGGATGAATACAGCCCGTCCATGTTCATCTTCAACTGCAACTTTGGGTCGGAGGATTGCGGAACGGTTTTGACGCGCTACATACCGGAGGGGCTGGAGCTTCCGGGGGCGGCATACGAGGTGGGTAACGACCGGGCCAAGTGTGTGTCCGTTGCTTTGATGCTGCGGTGCATGAATCGAAAACAACGCAGTACAGGAATCAACACTGAAGTGCTTGGGCCACAGAGCCGAAAGCAGTGGAGATGTTGAACATAGACTCCTACCTTAATCACTAGAGAAAAGGGACCGAATAGGACTTTTTGCGAGCACATATGCATGCATTTCATCAGTGTTGTGCACGCTGAAAACAAGAAGGTAACCCAAACCCATAGACTCATAGACGGTACTTTCTTGTTTGCAACTTGCCTTTTCACAGTAATTTGACTGCAAACGATTTTCTTGTAATTGCCATTGTAATCGGAAACAACAAAACAACATGATTAGTAACAACAAGAGCGCGTGGGATTCCTAACAAATTGGCGATCGCCACAGACGCCAGAGAATTGTCAAAGACATCATTGGGCAAATTGGCTCCTTGGGGATCTGAGTCAGCGCAGAATACGAGCAGCACAGGATTGAGCTATGTGGCAAAACGCCAATTGCATCATCTGCCATCTAACCATTTTGGTCAGCAATAAAACCCCCATGAAGACTTCCCGTCCCGTTCCAACGGCTGAGGGATTCCCTAGGAAAGAAGGTCCAAATAACACATGTTCAGACGTGTACAAAGTCGACGCCGATGTCAGCAACATCTCATGGATTTCCCCCACCAGAAAGCGACATGTTCCACCCATCAAGTGGGCGACGCAGAAACGCGACAGCGTTGCCTATGAATGGTCACGTGAAAGTTGAACACAACTTTGCAACTCTTTGTCAAAATTGAATTTCGGTGTGCCACGGTTTTAAATGCACTGCGTTTAACGTAGTGCGTTAAGTTACTTCAAATGCTCCCCTCAAAGGTGAGGATGGTGTGGAACGCCTACTTGTTTGCGCTTCGTCGCAGGTGCGACCCATCCTTCCCGGCGCATTCCTCAATCGGCGAAAGGGTCGCGGATTTGAAAGCGCCGCCATCTCGCCGGACGGAAAGGCTGCGATTCTTCTCCTCCAGGTGAGCCGAAACTCGCTTCCTTGCAGTTTTCTATCGTCACGCTGTTTGTTCAGAGCGCTTGGCGGCACAAATTGGAGTCCAGCGAGGGGCCGACCGGATGCACAAAGCATTGCATGCGCGACCACCACCTCTGCAGCGCACATTGCAGTTGGTCAGACTCGGGCCCCCCATCGCCCATAGGCACGTCTGCATTCAAGGACAAGCGAACTCACCCACATCTTGAAACTGCAGAAGATACGCCTATGACTAAAAGAACTCGCCATTTTGGGCATGGGCTGTTGTAATTCGCAACGGCCACACAATTTTCGGCTCCACCGCGGTGATCGAGATGGCACCAAAGTAATTTTGACGACACCATCAAGGTTTGAAACGGCGTCGCAGCTGGAAGAGGGTGCATCGCCAAAAGGGTGCTTTGCAATGGTGGAAGAGGGCAAAGTTTTTTAAAAATACATATCTCATATCTGATTATAATTTCTAATAACTAATACTTCCTCCGTCCGGAATTAATTGTTGTCCATGACTTTAGCGCTTTACTTCTCCATCATGACAATATCGTTTTTTCATTGGAATTTCTTTCAAAACTGCATCTATGTATCTGGAGTGCACGATCTAAACGTCAAGTCAATCCGTTGAGTGGTGAGGATTTGGCAGTACTTTGTAGCGAGGGTCCTCCAGCCAAAACCCACCCGTTTTTCAACAAAGTCACCGAAACGGCTATTCTCCGCGACGGCGAGTAGCACGCCTTTGTGGTGGCCAAGCAAGACCGCCCGTGCAAAACTATTTACGCCATTTGGCTAGAAGCTCGGAGAGGCCCCTGCCAAGAAGCGCAGTGGTATAAAACGTGTCTTGATCATGGAAGCCGCTGTGGCTTTGCAGACCTAATTCGAAATCAACTTGCCACTTTGAGGACGCATTTCCGGATCATATTCCTGATCTGCGACCTCTGAACCTCGATCGCTGCTGTGAGAAATACTGCGCCAGGCCTCCCGATCCCCTCCAAGAGGTGCGAAGGAATGCGGCGGCCACCACCCTCATCAATAGCGGACGATTAGCGGAATGGCTTCCAAGGCCAGATGGCGAAGTTGACCCGTGCCTCGATCATTGAAAGGGTAGAACGCGAAGGGAACGGTCAAGTAGATAAGCTCGTGTCTCTTACAAGTAGAGACTGGATACATTGCGAAGCGTTGCAGACCGCACATACAAGTTGGCCGCTGGGGGCAATTTCTGGTGTGTGGGCCCAACCACACACGAAAGCCTCGATTCAAAGATCAACCAAGGCGCAATGTCAAAGCAAAATTACAGCGCAGCTGCAGAGTGATAGCATGCACAGAACCCAAGCTTGAGCATCTTGGGCTTTGGCCTTTTCCGCTTATGGCAAGCCAGAGCATCGGAGATCAGGGACGGTGCCAATTTTGTCCATCGTTGATGCCGTGACAACAGCCTTCTTCAGTTGGAGTCCAAGCATAGTTGAGCGTGTTTGGAAAGCGCTATACCACGTGAGGGGCACTGCCCTTCACCAGGATGGCAACAACGACATTGCTTTGGCAGGCCTGTGATGGCAGCGACACACAACCACACGCATCTCTTACGCCCGTCGAGACAGAATGCACATTTTTTGGATGGATTTTAGGCAATTTTGATGGCGTCCCATAGGTAGCGGGACTGAGTGTTTTTCCTAAAACTTGGTGACCAAAAGTTTCGGAACCCATTTTTTTCGACTGTGAAGTCCTTTTGTGACTTCGAGGCCATTCTGATAATGAGAACTTTCCCTCAAAAACACGACAATTACTTCCGGATGGAGGAAGCATGTAATTATCATTTCTAAATTCCTATTTCCAGTTTCCAAACTCTATTTTACAATATCTGAACTCATAATCTCCCTGCTGCCACACAGAGCGCCATGGGCAGCGACGAGGACGATTCTCCCTTCGCGCTCTCCCACACCATGCACGCCGTCAAGCTCAACATCTCGGACCCAGCGGACGCCAGGGTGCTAGGGCACTTCCTGTACATTGGCGAGAACGTGGAGAATTGGTTCGACTCGGACGAGCCCAAGGACACCAAACTGAGCTCGGCGACATGGGTGTCCGAGTTCGCCGGCACGGATAACGACGTGCTGGTGGTCATGGAGAGGAGGAAGGACCAGGTAACACCCTTGTAGGAAAGTGGCACGTAAGAGCGTGCTTCAATTCAAAAAAGATAATCGGGGAAAGGCAGTACAACAATGTGCCGTAAATGCTAAGCGACGCACTACTTTTTCCAGCACACTGTAATACGCCCATTCGGCGCATTTGTGTACTACTGCGTTTTTATTGTATTCTCTTTCTTTGCTCTGATTGTGTCGCCCACTTCTCAAACCATTACTTTAAGTGTGCTGAGACTTTTACCCCGAAACAGTTTTTCGGGGCACGTCTAGTCAGGGGAATTTGGTGCGTGGCAGTGCAGAGGGTGCGTGCAAACGTTCTGGCAGTTGATGTGAGACAGCCCACTGCCGCTGCTGCGACGCTCCGGGATGCTTGCGCGTTGCCTCATAGGTTGATGTGGAAATCTTAGGTTGCAAGGAAACGCGCAGGGAAACGGGAATACAACATTCGAATGTTGACATATGGCAATATTCGAGCGCGTTCTCTCGCAACTAGCAGCAGTTTATACGATTCTATGTAACTGAAGCAACCATTTGATAATGGAAATAGTATTGCAGTATCGATGAACATTCTGCCCTGCTGTTAAGGAGCTTTCGTCGTGGCCATTCTGACGCTTCTGATGACGTCGCTGGACAGGTCAAATTATTTCTTGCCGACTTTTCCGTCGCCACCAACGTCGTGGACAACCCTCTGGTCTCCAATCTCACATTCGACCAATTGGGTACGGCACTTACGTTCACCGGAATCTGTTCCGAAATTTGCATCACACATCAACATACCGCACTGCGCTTCCGAGAAACGCATGTCAAAGTGCAACGCTCAAGACGTGGCTCATCCAGACCCTGCAACCGCTGGGACGTCCCCACTGCGTCGACGCTTCGAGCGCCGCTAACGCCCGAAAGGTTCCATATACTGTTCGAAGCGTGGGGGAAACTCTGGTGACGCCTTTTCGTAGCGGCCACGCAACAAGTTGTACAATTGTGTCGAGGAAGCACCGGTAAAGCGCCGACATCGCTTCAGATATTGTTAGAATTGTCGCAGCGATGGCGAAATTTGACACCTTGTTCCTCTTGATGACTCATCATTTTCGTGTGGTCAGAAACTCGCTAGAATGCTGGCATGATGTTGCTGAATAACACTGGTAAAAAGCGCCATGTTTGCGATGCCATTTTGACACAAATTGATGCTATCACAGTGATTGCGATGGCATGAAAGGGGCTGTGATGGCATCAATTTATGTGAAATGGCAAAACAGTTGGCGTCGCAAGCAGGCTGTTTTCTACCGGTGTAAGGTGCGGTCCACAAACATCTTGGATGGCCGCTTCTGGCACATGTTCAGGCTATCTACAATACGCGGCCATATGCCTGACGCCCATATGAATCCATATACAGGACATGCATATCAGGAAATACAGCCTGCGATCCGTGGACATCATTGATGCTCGATGCGAGCAGATTCAGGCTCCCTCAGCGCTGGAGGATACGCTTCAAGTGGTATTTATTTGGCCAGTGTACACTGGTTAAATGCCATATAACAATAAAAAATAGTATTTTAGAAATCAAATAAAAGACGTTCAACAAACAGCAATAGAATTGAGAAGTAACAGTGGATATGCCTGTTAGCCAACAGATGCTTGTGTAGTGGGAGAGGGCGCGACTCTGCTTTGCTTGCATCAGTGAAATCGGTCTACTGTAATAGAATACGGAACACCGTTATCCGTAATCGGTCTACTCTATAAGATATTGTGAATATGCGAAAGCAATGTGAAACATAACGTACAATCAATGCTCATCTTCGACTTCTTTTTAATTCAAAATTCGTCACCCATATACATGAGAGTCATGCATGCAGGACTTACTGTTGTTGCATTAAAGAATTTAATCACAGCATGCTGACATGAAAGGATTGCCGCTTTTTTGTGAGAAATTTGCATCGATTTGAATGCAGTTGGGTGGGTAATGCTGTGGCGGGAACTCGCCCGGGACCCCTTTCTTGGTCCGAAAGATACAAGTACCCTATGCTATGGTGTTCGCAGAAAACAAATGCTTTGCTTTGTCAGCACGGTGTATGGAAGGATGGCTGCGGGATTAGTCTTTAAAGCTTGGCAACATAACAAGGAATAGGAAATTTGATATTTAGCATTTGGCCCCGCATACAGCTCTTCTGGGAAAGTGCCGCAACTGCACCTCGACGGATATTCTCCGGCAATAGTATTGAACAAGCCATTGAAGATAGAATATTTTCCAATTCAATGATTGGTCTACTAATAATTGTATTTCAAGTAGAGTAGTAATTCTACTTCGTAATTACACTTCAAATAATTTCACGCATGTGGTAGAATAGGAATCATAGAGTAGCAATTCTACTGGAGAAACCTGCTTCACGTAGAGAAGCAATTCAGGGACTTAACAATTCATAATGGACAGTTGTTCATTGGGATTGGCGCGCAAAACTTAAAAACAAAGCCTCAGAAAATCTGCTCTGCCTGCTGAAGGTCTTTTTGACGAAACCATGGAGAAGCTGGCAGGGTTTGGAGTTGCCCCAGCCGCCAAGGCGCTGCTCCTCGACACCGGCGACGTGGAAGATGAACCCTTCATCGAGGTGCTCGGCGCGGGCGGCAATAGAATGTCGATAAATTGGTGCCAACGATGTAGGGAATGCGAGCGTTACACAGGCGTTACACGCGCGTAACGCCTGTGGAACCCTGACGCGCGTGTGCGTTGCGCAGGAAGTTGTTCCAGTTGCTTTAGCGAAAGCAGCGATGACTTCGTTTCTACCAGCTTCTGTGACGCAGTGGCGATGGCGAATGTCCGAGATCATCTCTTTTATGAACGGACTCGATAATATTCGTTAATAAAACTGGATAACAAGGATGACTTTAATTGCTAGTGCTGCTATTTTGTTAAAGAAACTGGATAATAAAAACGAACATTCATTTGGATTGTAGCTCCAGCGCACACGCGGCGCTTTACATGCGCTCGCATTTATGAGGGAGGTGCACCCCAACCCTCGCCGTCCTTGGGATCCACTTCTGGGAAGCAGCCTGTAGTGCAAGGCCCTGGTAAAGGCGTGACATAGTCGACCGTGCTCAGATAGGTCCGAAGCTGCAGAGCACCCACTGTACTCCATACTACTGCCAGAGCATTACTGTACAGGGCAGTACTAATGCACTGGTGCATAATATTGTATATTTTCAAGTTGCCGACGATGCACTGTGCGTTCCAGTCGCAGAACTCTCGGCACCACTTGGAGAGAAGAAAGAGGCCCGCGACCGCCTCCCCTGATCTCACGTTGCTTCCTATTTACAATGCCACAGCGCGCATTACAAAATATTTCCAAATCTTTGCCGATAGATTAAGTGGACGCGCTCCCGGATGCGAATTTACCTATAAATAGTTGCTGTTGATTAGTGAGTGTTGCCGCAGGGATGGGAAAGCGGCGACAAGCAGGAGGGCGTTACGGTCCTCAACCCTTGCGTCCTAGCGATGGCGGACGACAACGACTTTGGGCTCGGGAGGGACGGTCAGCCCAGCATCACCATTGTGCAGCTGCAGGACTGCATCGACGGCGCCTATGGCAAGATGCAGGATGGCTGACCCGGCGAATGGATGTGCCGGGCGCACCATCCGGATGCCGAAAATCACAATGGTGTACGGTGCTCGGACGCAGGCACTTGCAATTGGTGGCAAGGCGCTGACGCAAAAATGTGCTCCAGAGTGCGGTAGCCACTTCGCAATCTGCGCCGGCTTAGGCGCTTGGCACATCGCTGCAGCGCGCATTTCGCTGTTTTACCATTACAGTCTCTATTCGAATTCTTCCCCTTTTGGAACCGGATGGGAATAGCGAGGAGTGGGAAAATCTTGGCCGGTAATATTTATGGCAATCTGCAAGTGGACGGCACGGATGTGTGATGTGTGAAGTGGATGGCGCACGTTGTGGGCGGAGGCGGCTTGCAGATAGCCATAGTTTTGCGCAGAGTGTCTCAGTGCGCTTCTTGAGTGCTTTCATTTTTTGTTCTCAGATGAGCGTTTTTTTTCAACGGAAGTGTGTTATCCGGGGTGGCAAATCTCTACAAGGGACCATTGCTTTGCTGCCGATATATGACAACAGAACCCAGATGGGGTTTTCCGCTCCAGAACGAGCGGGTGCCTGAATGTGTGTGGGGGGCTACCAAATGCGGTTCAATTTGGGAACGGAGCGAAGCCCTTTTTTTTGAAAGAGAGTTACCAGTTGCCCTTCATCAAAATCACGTGTGCCATATGCACGCTTGCCACACGTGCCGCAAGCAGCACAGCCTTTGCATTTACTAATTTACACATAAATATATGTAAGGAAGACTGGCGCCTGCATTTTCGTGCACGTTTATGCATGTCCATGTTCATAGAACCAGGCTTGGTTCTTACGTTTACGTTTACGTTTTACCTTTTATGTTTTTACGCGTAAAAACGTAAATTTGCAAAAGACCCTATTTTTACGGCTATTTTTACGTTTTCACGGCTCCCTTGGACGCCCAGATTACGTGGTGAAAGTTGCGTACAATGGTCAGTCCTCTGCCATATCCAGCACCCGCAACACAATGTCCACCTCGCCCTTGGCAAGGGCGATGATAGTGTTTGACAAAAACTAGTTTTCTGCCCCTTCCAGGGCGTCTGGCTGCCGCTCTCCGGACTCCGTAAGTCTGTATGCACTGTCCTTATGTACACCGGGCAGTTTTTACGGTGTATTTACGTATTTTTACGCATTTTTACGCGCAAAAACGTAAAAACTGTTTTTACGCGTAAAAACGTAAATACGATCAGTTTTTATGGCGTAAAAACCAAGCCTGCATAGAACGGTGCGGTGTCACAAAGCACAACCGTAAATTTTCGGCTCACGGCCGCATTGGGCGCCTCCAGCAGCGCGCCCACCTCGGTCTCACAAAGGCAAAATCTTAATTTAATCTTAATTTTAAAATTGTTCGAAGTAGCCGTTCATTGAAGAGCACCTTTACCATTTTCGGTTCTGGCCGCCAAAATC